ATCTGACAGATAGTACGGGGAGACTTTTCCCCGTACTATCTGTCAGAAGGAGGGGGGGGCGGCAGGTGCTGCTGTGGCTATGGAAACATGTTACATGTTCCACCCTAAAAATGGATGGAACATGTTCCGAAGGTTCACTTATCCTTTAGGGGAGCCCATTCAAATGAATGTGGCTGCAAATGCACCAAAATAAAGAAAAAAATTGGACATCCACTGTTTTTTTCCAGTATAACACAACTCACAATATTGCATTACTGTATGTTCTGGTGTGCCGTACACATGTACAAGTATGCATTACAGTGCATTAAAACAATGCACTGGAGAGCTGTGAACGAGCCCTCAAAAAAAAAAAAAGTTTTTTTGGCAGAAGCTACTCTGAATGTTTGTTTCTGCTGCCAAAAACTCTTTCCTTTTGTTCTTAGCAAATTTCTTGCTTTTTTTTTTAACTATATACTGCCTGCAATCCATGCAAGCCGTACACTCCTGAGATATTTGGGGCACTAATAGGCTCCATGCACACTTGCTCAAAAAACGCTTGATAAAAAAACGCTGGTAATTAGTAGTGTTAGCATTTTTAGAGTACATGTAGAGGGGGAAAAAAAAAGCTAAAAAAAAGTTGTTAGGGCTCGTTCACACTTGTTTTTATTTCTAAAACTTGCCAAACGCCCCTATAGCGTTTGATAGGCATTAGACAGGCGTTTGGGAAGCATTTTTTACGCTCCCCAAACACCCTATGTGCAGTTTTGAGGCGGTTTGCCAAGCATTACAACTGCACCAAAAATGAAGGACGAAGTAGAGTGTTAAAGGTAGAAAAGAGTTGATGGTGACTGCGTGAGAGGGTGTTTGGCAGTGTGGAGACAGGAATTGTATTTTTGAAGGGCAGATTTATATTGGTCGAAGTCTTGCTAGGTCTAATGCAGGCCATAGACGGGTCGAAAATCGGCCGATTTTTCTTTAAAAAAAAACAAAAAATCGGTCGTTCAAGCGGCCGACGTTACCAGCAACGGTAAAAAAAAATCGGCCGATTTTCATCCCGTCTACAGCTGGCAAAAAGTGTCCCTGCAGAGAGCTCTGCTATTTCTTTCACAGTTCCTTGACATTTATAGCGGTTGCAACAATGTATTTGTATCCATTTAGGATACAGATGTTTTTATTCGGAAACAAATAGATACAATGTTGTAACCGCTATAAATGTCAAGGAACTGTCAAAGAACTGTCAAAGAAATAGCGGAGCTTTCTGCAGGGACACTTTTTGCCGGACTGGAATTCCTCTTCTTCTTCATCCTCTTCGTCCTCTTCCTCTTCTTCTTCATCCTCTTCTTCTTCTTCATCCTCTTCTTCATCTTCCTCTTCTTCCTCTTCTTCTTCATCCTCTTCTTCATCCTCTTCTTCATCATCCTCTTCTTCTTCTGCTTCCTATTCTTCTTCTTCCTCCTCCTCTTCTTCTTCTTCCTCCTCTTCTTCTTCTTCCTCCTTTTCTTCTTCTTCTTGCAGGTCACTGCTCATGCGCAGATTTTTTTATCGGTAAAAAGATTGGCCGATTTGCCCATCATTGCCGTGAAAATCGGCCGATTTTTTTTCCAACTTTACCGATAAAAAAAATCTGCCAAAATACCAAAAAACGGCCAAACAATTAGCCCACTAACGATCCGAAAAAATCGGCCGATTTTATTTTCGGCCGAAAAATCGGCCAATTTTCGACCCGTCTATGGCCTGCATTAGTCTTATGCCATAAACACTGAAGAGCACGGCTAGGATTTTTGAGGCATCTGGTATTGTCTGCCTGCCAGGGCTGTAGTGATCGGGACCTAATTCTGTGTGTAGTGAGGGGGCCAATGTGTCCACGGTGGATGACAGTGAACTGTTGTAGACAGAAGTGGCCAGGTTGGGGCAGGACAGGGCTGAGATTTTGTCATAGAGACAATCTGTTGCAGAAAAAAGAAGAGAGGGGTTGAGATATAGAAGGTTTCTACGGGTAACTGTTCAGTAGTTAGAAGACAAGGAGGAGGAAGGCAAGGAGAGAGTGAAGGTAATAAGGGAGTGATCAGAGAGAGGAAAGGGAAAGTTGGTGAGGTTGCAAGGAGTGCATAGGTAGGAGAACACGAGGTCCAGGCAGTTACCATTAGAGCGAGTAGAAGCAGATGATGTCATTCCTGTGTGTGGGCGTTACATCATCAGTGGAGAAACACTGAATATAGTGGGGGGGGTGGAGCGGTGAGGGACAGCTCTAAACTGTCAGCTCTGAAGGAGAACAAACAAGTTAGTCTTCAATAATGTGCACGTGTGCTGTGAATTATAGCAACAGCTGTCAACCCTCAGGCATTTATATATGTTGCCAGACCATTAAACTGGAATGGTTGCTTTGTTCAGGGGAGGACTGACCATTTGGAAACTCAGGCACTGCCCAGGGCCCAGGGTCAGTAGGGGGCCCCAGGACATGCCCCTGGTACCTTTTTCATAGGCTTTTTTGAGTTTTGTCAAGGGCACAGGGGCCCTATGATGATCCTCTATTGCCCGGGGGCCCCATGAGTTGTCGGTCCGCCCCTGGCTTTGTTTCTCATGATGCATCAGCACACCTGCACATTGGGGTTCATTTACTTAAGGCAGTTCACTTTGCAAGGAGAATTTTTACCTTGAGTTAGTGAATGTGGCGAAAACTCACTTTGTAACGAATATCCAATCGGATGAAAGGAAATTTTTAAAAAAAAATGCATTTTTGGTTGCACATGATTGGATGATGCAAGTCCGCACCGCTGCACTTCATTCACTAAGCTAAGAGAAAATCAGCTTACAAAGTGAACAGTTCTATTTGCCTTTAGTAAATCAACCCAATTGTGTCTGATGTGCCTCTGAATTTGCACTCTTCGAGTGATGACAGCTGTGTGTTCTCCTTTGCCGTTGCTGTCGGCCCTTTTTCCACCTCTGATATTTTCCTTCTTTGGTAAGTGCAATTAAGCTGCACTATCACAGCACTTAAACTCTTAACCATTTCACAGATGCCAAGAATGTACATTGTACTGTGCATGCACTGCAGGCAATGTACACAACCTCACACCACAATGGACACATATGTGGCAACTGGGCATTAAAGTGATACTAAAGGCCTAAATAAAAAAAACAAACTTACTTACCTGCTGTGTGCAGTGCTTTTGTACAGAGCAGCCCGGATCCTCCTCTTTTCCGGTCCTCTGACGGCGCTCATGGCCCCTCCCTCCTGTTGGGTGCCCCCACAGCAAGCAGGTTGCTATGGGGGCACCCGCTGCTCCTTGTGTTCATTCACGCATGGAGCCGCAGCATGGCACCACCCCCTCTCTTCTCATTGGCTCACTGGCTATGGTTGACAGCAGCAGCTCCCACTGCTATCTCAGCCAGTGAGGAGAGGGAGTCCCAGGATAGCCGAGACTCCTGTGCAGATCGTAGGATCGAGAGTGGGCTTAGGTGAGTATTAGGGGGGCAGGGGGATGCTGCACAAAGAAGGCTTTTTGCCTTCATGCATAGAATGCATGAAGGATGTCCTCGCTTCAGCAGGACATATACTAAAAAACAAATTGGAACGATACAGAGAAGATTAGCATGGCCCCTGCACAGAGATGACACGCACATTCGTGAAGTGTTCCATATTAAAAAAAATAAATAAAATTCATCAAGGTAAAAAAACCCTCAGCCTGTAAAGCCCCTTTAACCCTTTTTTTTGCTGGTGCCATTTTTGAGCTTTTTTTTTTTTTTTTTTTTTTTTTTTTTTTTTACGCTTTTACGAAATAATCTTAGACCTGAAGATTAGTTAAAAATCTTAGTGTTAAATATTTTCTGAAAACAGAGGCCATGAAAAATAAAGTGGTGGTAGATTTATGTTGTATAACACACACTATTTATGCAACAGATTATCAAGCACAAATTTTCAGAAACAAAAACTCTAAAGTTAATTTTGGAGCACACAAATGCAATATAGAACCTTATTTTTGATGGAATATAATATTAAGTTGCGATAAGTAAATAGATAGCCAACATGTCAAGCTTTAAAATTACTTGTGCTTGCATGACTGTGGGCAGCACAGTGGCTAAATGGTTAGCACTTTCACCGGGCAGTACTAGGGTCGTTGGTTCGAATCCCAACCACGGCACCTCCTGCCTGGAGTTTGCACGTTCTCCCTGTGCCTGCGTGGGTTTCCTCTGGGTTACTCCGGTTTCCTCCCACATTCCAAAGACATGCTGGTAGGATAATTGGCTCCTGTCTAAATTGTCCCTAGTATGTGTATGTATGAATGTAAGTTAGGGACCTTAGATTGTACACCTCTTGAGGGTTAGGGACTGATGTGAATGTACAATATATATGTAAAGTGCTGCGTAAATTGATGGCGCTATATAAGTACCTGAAATAAATAAATAAATAATGACTGCAATGAACTTCAGTACCCTATTTATTCCTTAGGTGATGCTTTAAAAGCCCCTACAGGTCATCACTTTAGAGTTAACCATGGATATTGGCCTTAGAATTATTGCTTACACTCTAGCGTGTGCAGTGATATCTAATGTGTAGTGCAAGCAATCCCCCCCACCAGGTGTGTTTACATTTGCAAGTGCGTGTATATGGAGGTGCTGCAAGCTCTAAATTTTTGAGGTGTTTCTAAGTGCTTGGGTGTTTTTGTGTTTTTTTTTTTTTTTTTGCTTTTTTTTTTTTTTTTTTGCTTTTGTCAGTTTCAGGGATCTCAGAAAGCAATAAAGCAGCTGTACGCTCACTGGATCATCTTTGTAGGAAAGCCAAAGGTTGGCTTGTACAATGTGCACACCCTCCTAGCTGCTGTAGCATCCCGGAGTGTGTTTAAAACTCCCTGCTGCCACCACCATATGACATACAGGGGGGGGTGATAGTGCTAGGGTTAACCAGTTCCTCACCATCCTATAGCAGAACTACTGCTACAGGGCAGCAGGCTGCGCAAAATCGTGTATATATATATATATATATATATATATATATATATATATATATATATATATATATGTGATTTTGCATTTCTGGGTAGGGGGTGTGCACCGCCCTACCTGTGCCCCCCCATTGGCAGTTACAATTGTCAATCACCGAATACTAGCCGGAGATCACAAGCACCCGGCGATCACAGGGGGACCGTGAAAGGGAAGAGGTCTGTGTGTAAACAACACAGATCTCTCCCCTGTCAGCACCGACATGCTGCTTTGTATTGCTCTGCATACACATACACAGTAAAACAGCACACAGTTAACCCTTTGATCAACTCAGATGTTAACCCCTTCCTGCCCAGTGTCATTAGTACAGTGTCAGTGCTTTTTATTAGCACTGATCACTGTATTGGTGTCACTGGGGATGTCAGTGGCAGTTAGTCAGTTCCCCCCAGTATCAGAATGTCTGCCACAGTCCCACTATAAGTCGCTGATCACCGCCATTACTAGTATTAAAAAAATACAGTATATATACCGCTATTTGTAGACGCTATAACTTTCAGGTAAACCAATTAATTTGCACGTATTGGGATTTTTTTTAGCAAAGAGATGTAGCAGAATACATTTTGGCTTAAATTTATGATAAAATTAGCTTTTTTTTTACTGGATATGTTTTATAGCAAAAATATTGTTTGGGGGTTTTTTTTTTCAAAATTGGCGGTCTTTTTTTGTTTATAGCGCAAAAAAAATAAAAACCGCAGAGGCGATCAAATACCACCGAAAGAAAGCTTTACTTGTGGTAAAAAAAAGGACATCAATTTAATTTGGGTGCAGTGTTGCATGACAGCTCAGTTGCCAGTTAAAATAACGCAGCACCGTATAACAAAAAATGGCCTGCTCAGAAAGGAGGAAGGGGGGGGGGGGGTAGATTATTATTATTATACAGGATTTATATAGTGCCAACAGTTTGCTAGGCGCTTTACAGTATAACGGGAGACAGTACAGCAACAATACACTTCAATACAAGAGGGTTAGGTCCTCTGGAGGGCAAGTGGTTAAAGCTCACTTTTCCTGACACCACATATATATATGGCCTGAAAGAGGTTAAGAAGAAAGCAGTAGTCCTCGGCAAGTTTTTCCATCATGCCTATCCACTTCTCTTCTACACCATCCTGTTTTCCTGTAACTAGAGGACAGCAGGTTGCCTTTCAGATGGTGCTGCGCTATAAAGTGCTAACCATCCCGGTATCTTTTTTTTTTTTTTTTTGGCTGTCATTGCCCTTTTTTTGTAAAAGCAATACTAACAGTTAATTAGCCACTAGACCACTTTTACAGGCAGTGGGAGGGAGTCCCCCCATCTCTCCTCCTTCTCGGGCTCTCCTGTCCCACAGGGGAGCCCAAAACTGCAGTCAGCGGTTCCTCCGACTGACCATAGAGACGATCGAGGACTGAAACGTCCCCGATCATCTCTACAGTCTAAAAATACTGGAAGCGACAATTATTTCATCATTTCCGGTTTTGCCGGATGTAAACAAACCATTATTTGGCTTGTGAAAGCATCTGATCAAATCAGTCTGGGTTAGATCTAATGCTTTTTAAGAGTAGAGGAAAGATTTGAGGTATCACTGCGAACGTCTGATCGAGAGCAATAATTCTAGCACTAGACCTCCTGTGTAAATCTAAAGTAGTAACCTGGCTTTTACGTCACCCGTGGATAATTTAATGTACCCTAGTTTGTCTCCATTCCACGAATGTGCGCAATTTTAAAGCGTGTTGTTTGGTATCTATTTATTCGACATAACATCCTATTTTATATTTTACCAAAAATTGTGTTTGCATGCATTAAAATTCATTAAAGTGTATTTTTTTTTCCAAAAAATTTGCATTGTAAAAACCACTGATATAACAAAATTGCAATGCCCACCAGTTTATTCTCTAGGGCCTCTGCTTAAAACATATATACGTTTGGGGGTTCCTAGTAATTTTCTAGCTAAAAAATGCTGATGTTTACATATATGTGAGAAGTGTTAAAATAGACCTAGTCTTCAAGTGGTTAAAAAATGCTGTGAAATATTTCATAGAGAAGGTAACTTTGTAATAAACATAACAATTGCTTGGTCAGCAATATCAGATATTGTGAAAGGACACTAACTAGACTTTCCTGAAGAATATCTATAGCACAGATGCTTAAAGGCTACGTTCACCTTGAATAATAAATGCACATTTTTGGGCTGTCTCAGTCTCCTGTGGACTCTCAGGCTGGCTAGATCAGGAAGGATCAATGAAGAATCAATGAACTGCCAAAGTGTTCACTAGCGCCCTCAAAGTTTGTTGAGAACTACAAGCCGACATCCACAATGGCTGACAGTACTTGTAGGCTATTCATTCACAGAAGACTGTGGGAAGGGGGGATCGAGGGTGCGGGGTGCTGTTGCTAGAACATGTTATATGTTCCACCCTGAAAATGTATGAAACATTACATATTCCATAGGTGATTTTATCCTTTAATCTTTTTTAATGTTTATTTGTTGGGGATATATTTAAAAAAAAAAAGTAACATTCTCACAGCTATCACAAATAATCCCTGTAAGTTGTCTATTTTCCTGAGTGAGATATTTCAGGAAAATACCACATTATGGCCTGTAGATGGAGCTGATGGCCATAGGAGATAAACATTAGACACATTACAGAGAACATTCATGACAGCTGTGCAAATGCTGTGAGAATCATACGGCAATTTTTTTTATACATAATCCCTTTAAGTACACATGATCAGAAAATTGTACGAAAAAAAAAAAACTCTGTTGGAGCGATCGAACAATAATGTGATCATTAGTACACAGCTTTCATCTGAAATTATTTGAAGGGACAAACACAAAAAGTTTTCTCATATGATACTAGATCGTATGATTTCCATTTAATCAGTACAGTTTTCATCCGAAGATACAATACAAATACATTACATCACTTCCGAATTTTCTTTCTGTCATACAAGAATTTTTGCAATTTTAGTAATTTCTTCACTATTGATATGAGACTAGCATGCAGAAGAAAAAAAAAAACGGTCGATCATTCATCCGATATGCCATGGTGTATACTGGGCTTTAGTGTCACAATTTTATCAACCCTTCAATGGTTGCAATTGTTTGGGAACCCCAAGTAGGAGTTTTGTGTCCTAGGTAAATAGCATGACTTCCAACAATAGGGAAAAACCAAGAAACAATCCAAGAAAGTTGTTCACCTAGGCTGTACTTAGTCTCTACATGCAGTCATAGTGGATTTCTGGACATTGTGCAACTAATCACTGAAAAGGGGGAATCTATAGGAATTCTTGCTGTTTGTTGATGCAGCTTGAAAGATCATTTTGACCATTTGGCAATACACGGTGGTTTAGTGGTTAGCACTTCTGCCTTGTTCCCCCTGTGCTTGCATGGGTTTCCTGCCGGCTCTCCAGTTCCCTGCCGGCTCTCCAGTTCCCTCCTCTCCAGTTCCCCGGCTCTCTCCAGTTCCCTGCCGGCTCTCCTTCCCTGCCGGCTCTCCAGTTCCCCTGCCGGCTCTCCAGTTTCCCTTCCCTGGCTCTCCAGTTCCCTGCCGGCACTCCAGTTCCCTGCCGCTCTCCAGTTTCCTGCCGGCTCTCCAGTTTCCTGCCGGCTCTCCAGTTTTTTCCTGGCACTCCAGTTCTTCAGTTTTCTCCCCGGCACTCCAGTTTTCTGCCAGCACTCCAGTACTTCAGTTTTCTCCCGGCACTCCAGTTTTCTCCCGGCACTCCAGTTTTCCCAGCACTCCAGTTTTCTCCCGGCACTCCAGTTTTCTCCCGGCACTCCAGTTTTCTCTTGGCACTCCAGTTTTCTCCCGGCACTCCAGTTTTCTCACACACCCCAAAGACAAGCTAGTAGGTTATTGGTTCCTGTTTAAATTGGCCCTAGTATGTGGTGTATTATTATTATTATTATTATTATACAGGGTTTATATAGCGCCAACAGTTTACACAGTGCTTTACAACATAAGGGCAGACAATACAATTACAATACAAATTTATGTATGCATGTGAGATAGGAACCTTAGATTGTAAGCTCCTTGAGGGCAGTAACCGATGTGAATGTACAGTATGTAATGTGCTAAAGTTCTGGTGAATTGTCAGTTCTATGTACAGTACATACTGTACCTATAGATAAATAATAAATACACACGAGTAGAATCTTATTACTCTAAAACGACAATGTAACTTTCATTTTTTAAGTTCTTGGCTGTACAAGCCAGCTTTTGCCTTAAAACAAATAACACACCTAGTCTCTGTTATCAACCTGTAAAACTGGTTGGACTTGTAAGCTGTGGTTTTACTTCATGATTTTTAATTTTCCTCTTTTTTTTTTTTTTAATGCTGACCTTTCCAGGAATTGGTAAGTGTATGGTAAATTGGTTATTTGTGTTTTTTATAAGCCTGACATGGGTTAGTAAGTCTGTCCTCTCATCAGTGTGTACTTTTGAAACAGTTATGCATATATGGAAACATATCTACTAAGGATTGACAAATGAATTTATGCATGCAAAAAGTGTAAGCCCTGGCTTTTCATATCCCCTAGATCAGTAGTGGTCAGCTTTTTAACCACTTGCCTACCCCCTTCCTGCCCAGGCCAGTTTTCACCTTTCAGTGCTGTTGCACTTTAAATGACAATTGCACAGTCATGCAACGCTGTACCCATATTAAATTTTGATCATTTTTTTCCACATATACATTTTTTTGGTGGTATTTAATCACCACTGGGTTTTTTTTACACTATAAATAAAAAAAAAAAAGACCATAAATTTTGAAAAGAAAAAAACAAAACGCGTTTTTCTTCATTTCTGTTATAACATTTTGCAAATAAATCTTTCTACACAAAATGTAGGCCAAAATGTATTCTGCTACATGTCTTTGGTGAAAATAACCAAAATCAGTGTTTATTGTTTAGTTGGTAGGAAAGTTATTAAGTCCACAAACTATGGAATATGTCTAAAAATTGATAAATTCTGATGGTTGATCTCATTTCTTGTGGTCCACAAATGCTAGAACAGTACAAATACCCCCAAATTGACCGCTTTTTGGAACGCAGACAGTCTGAGGTATTTAATAGAGACATGGCGAGTTTTTTGTCATACTATTGTGGGAAATGAAGAAATAAAAAAAAAAAAAAAAAAGTTTATGTCCTCTGGGACCTTTTTAGCAGCCGGGAGAGCTATGCCAGCAGAAGCTGTAAGAAAAGGTCAATGTGTTAAACGTCACATACACTGCACATTTACAATGGGCATATTCGCAGTTATAAAAAAAAGGTTATCAGACTGCTTTCACACTGAACCCACACTGATCCTGCGGGTTAGCTGCACTGAGCCATAGACTTCTGTTATATCCTGCGGGTTTGGTGTGCCTCCTGAATGCAGTACTGTGATGGTCAGCTCTAGACTGAGGGTGGTTATTTCATCAATCATGATTGAAATTTTTTTTTATATATTTGGCTAAAGAGCTTGCCTTTTTCCAGATGTCTGAATCTGTTAAAATGTGACCAAGGGTCTGTCCCCCTAGTTGTGCGCAGGCAGTTTGTAGATCAGTTCTCAAATGCAGAGTGATTCTCCCAAAATCAGTATGCAGTTGTAGACTATAGTGTTTGACTGTCCCATGTAGCATTTGTATAACTGCAGAAGATGGAGGTGAGGGGGAGTTTTGTAGAACACCTTATGATTTTTTTTTAACACGCTAATTCAAGTATGTTCACAATATTTCATTTTATTGCAGAGTGAATGGGAAAAACGGGAACGCATTGAGGCACAAAGAAAAAAGCAAAGGGAACTCATTGTTCAGCTCAAAAACCAGCTGGATGATTTAGAGAACTTTGCTTACCAAGAAGGCAATTATGATTCTCTGCCCCAGTCCATGGTCATGGAGAAACAACGGGTAATTTAAATTTTTTTTTTTTTTTAATTAACCCTTTCAATTTTGAGTTGTGTAATTTAGGCACTATAGCTTTAACCATATTTCTAGGTCAGATGAAAAAAATTGCAAGGATTCGTAAGATGGTTCTCTAGTATATGTCCTTGTAATACCTTCAGTTACATACATCAGTTACACATAGGATAGCATTGGAGTTTACGTCCTACAACAATTGGTGCAAGAGCACACTATAGTTATATTATACCAGATAATATTAGTATCACAGAGTCAATCAAGACCAAACACTGAAGAAGTGTTTATGGAAAGCTACCATGATAAAAAATAGCACTTTACTAAATTAAAGGATTTTGCCTCGTTTATATAAGATAAATTAAAATTATGCTGAACATTAGAGAATTTCTTTGCTAGCCATGTTATCATTGCACTATATATATGACCTCTAATTTCTCCAGGTAATCATTGATGAGTTGATTAAGAAGCTGGATGTAAATTTGAATGAGGACATTAGTTGCCTGTCTCCAGAAGAGTTGCGGCAGAGGGTAGATGCTGCCATTGCTCAAATTGTCAACCCAGCTAGAGTGAAGGAGCAGTTGGTGGAACAGTTGAAGACTCAGATCAGAGACCTGGAGATGTTCATACAATTTATTCAAGGTCAGTAACTTTTTAAAGAATTTAGGAAAATTATATCTTAAAATCAAAAACCCTTGAAAACAACATTAGCTTTGAGATCATAGTAGTAAATGTACAGTGGGATAAATAATTATTTGATCCCCTGCAGATTTTGTAAGTTTGTCTACTTACAAAGAAATGAAGGGTCTGTAATTTTTATCATAGGTGTATTTTACATGATAGAGAATATCAACCAAAATCCAGAAAAAAACACATGATACAAACTTTATAAATTGAGTTGCAGTTCAGTGCATAAAAAAGTTTTTTCATCCCCAAGCAAAACATGATTTAATACTTGATGGAGAATCCCTTGTTGGCAAACACAGAAGTAAGATGTTTCTTGTAGTTGGTCCCAGGTTTGCACACATCCAGGAGGGATTTTGGTCCACTGCTCTTTACAGATCTTCTCTAAATCCTTAAGGTTTCTTGGCTGTTGCTTGGCAACTCGAAGTTTAAGGATTAAGGTCTGGAGACTGGCTAGGCTACTCCATGACTTTAAAGTGCTTCTTCTTGAGCCACTCCTTTGTTTTCTTGGCGGTAGGTTTTGGGTCATTGTCATGCTGGAAGGACCCATCCACGACCCATCTTCAGTGTTCTGGCCGAGGGAAGAAAGTTCTCATCCAAGATTTTACAATACGTGGCCCCACCCATTGGCCCCTCAATGTGCCAAAGTCTGCCTATACCTTTAACAGAGAAACAGTCCCAAGGCATAATGTTTCCACCTCCATGCTTGACTGTAGGGATGGTGTTCTTAGGGTCATAGTTACCATTTTTCTTCCTCAAAACACAGTGAGTTGGGTTAATGCCAAAGAGCTCAATTTTGGTCTCATCTCCCATACCTTCTCTGATATCCTTTAGATGTTCATTGACAAACTTCAGATGGGCCTGTACATGTGCCTTCTTGAGGAGGGGGACCTTGTGGGCGCTGATCGATTTAAACCCATGGTGGAGTATTGTGTTACCAATGATTTGTTTGGTGACTGTGGTCCCAACTGTCTTGAGATCATTCACAAGCTCCTCCATGTTGTTCTGGACTGATTCCTCACTTTTCTCATTATCCTCCTTACCCCATGAGGCAAAATCTTGCATGGAGCTCCAGACCAAGGGCGATTGATGGTTATTTTGTATTTCTTCTTGCGAATAACCACTTCAACAGTTGTCTCCTTCTTACCAAGCTTCTTGCTGATGGTCTTGTAGCCCATTACAGCCTTGTGCAGGTCTACAGTCTTGTCGCTGACATCCTTTGACAGCTCTTTGGTTTTGTTCATGTGGGTGAGGTTTGAATGGAAGAGTCTGTGGACAGGTGTCTTTCTTTTATATACATTGTCATCGGGACCACCTTCTTAAATTGACAGGACTAATCTGTGTACCACATGAGCACATAGCCACTCTGTGGGATCCATAATTATTGTTGGTTGGTAGGGTATCAAATACTTATTTTACTCACTGAACTGCAACTCAGTTTATAACATTTGTATCATGTGTTTTTATTCTGTCTCTGCCATTTAAAATACTTCTATGATAAAAATTATAGACCCTTCATTTTGTTGTAAGTGGACAAACTTACAAAATCTGCAGGGCATCAAATAATTATTTTTGCCACTGTATGACTTCCTGGTTTGATAAATTCCTGATTTTGAATAAGCATGCATATACTGTAAGTGCTTAGGACTCCTGATTTTCATAATTTTTCTGAACGAGTACTCTAAAGTATTTACACTATTGGGTCAGCACAAGTCTAAGGGCTAACTGTGCAGGTGTGGCCAGCTATGAAAAATATAGCTTTCATGTATCATGTGTTGAAGTGTGAGCAAATTACGTTTTTACGGAGGTACATAAAAAAAAAATACGATATTACCAGATCAAATAAAAAGTCTAAGTAAGAAAGTCTGCATAAAGGAACTAATTCAAGAGCTGGGTGCACTCTTTGCCCTTCTGTTAGTCTCCAACCATGCACAGGATACAGTAGGTGAGGGTGCTGGGGGAAGCAGAAGGTGCTTTCAGAGGTGGCATGCTTGTAATCAGCCACAGCCAACAATATTATTATTATTATACAGGACTTATATAGCGCCAACAGTTTGCTCAGCGCTTTACATTATGGAGGGAGACAGTACAGTAACAATACAGTTCAATACAAGAGGGATTGGAGGGCCCTGCTCCTTGGAGTTTACAATCTAGGAGGGAGGGGATAGTGGTACAAGAGGTAATTAGCTGTGGGGGATGGAGTGGTAGGAGGAGTAGAGGATTCCAGTATTAGCTGGGGGCGGGGTAAGCTTCCCTGAAGAGATGGGTTTTCAGAGTGCGCCTAAAGGTGAGCAGAGTAGGCGATAGCCTGATAGCCTGGGGTAGGGAGTTCCAGAGGATGGGTGAAGCCCTTGAGAAATCCTGGAGATGAGCATGGGAGGAGGAGACAAGGGAGCTAGAGAGTAGGAGGTCTTGCGAGGAGCGGAGAGTACGGTTTGGGTGGTATTTAGGCAAACACAGAAAGGAGGAATGGAAAAGCAAGCAAAGGGAGTCTGGGCTGTCTGCTACTTCTCTGTCTTGTCACTGAGAAGCCTAAGGCTTTATCCCTTTTATGCAGACATTTTGTAACAAGTCTGTAAGTGATAATGAGCATTCCTTGTGTTGAATGCACATATTCTTGTCAACAGATTAGTCTAGGACAGTCCAGTATTTGCATGAATTTCACAATGGGTTGTTAGAACAGGGGCAAGACCTGAACATTGTTAACTACTATAAAGTATCATACGGATAGCAGCTCTTAACCAACATGTCACTGTGAAAGAAAGAAATCAATAAAAGTGAGAAATAAGTCTAAGCCTTGCTCTATATAAATTGCATCTGTGAGAAAAAAAAAATTCCAATATATGGATTACACTGCAGCACTGTCTCTTTATTGGGGAATTTTGTGGACTATACTTTTAGGAATACTTACAAAAAGTTTTAAAGCACAGGGATGTGGTTTACAAATTTGGTTAGCATAGAGTGCTGTTGGAATGCTTGGGAGGAAAAAGTAAAGGATATAAAAGACCAGTGGAGAGCCTGGTTTAATGAACTTGTAGTCGTATGACATTTCCTGCAGTTAGGGCTCTCTCTACTTTAAGCAGTTGGTGACACTACTCAGTCAGTGCTCCACACCACTGTCTGCATTCTATGAATGGGATAAAAAATGTAGGCAATGGTGTGGAATAATTGTGCAGTGGAAAGTGGATAATTGTATCTGTGTACAGATGCTGCAACAGATTCTACTGTACTCTCGCTTTTTAGAAAGTCTATTATACAGTTGGAATCCAGTGTATTCGGTGTAACTGAATGTTATTTGTAAAAACAGAAGTTGTATTAAATAGTAAGTAAAAAAAAATCTTTCTCTCTATAATCCATTTTTGAAACCTATCTGGGTTATGAATACAAATCCATGTTAAATGTTTTGTGAATCCGTAATTAAAAGATGGCACTATGCACACTTTTGTTATGATCCTATATGCCAATATGCGGAAAAGTTCAAATACAAATGTTTAAAGTATTAACAATATACAAAAGCAGTGAAAAAATGTACCTGCAATAATCCACATAAATCTTCACGTGTCCATAAAAAAAAAAGCATTTGGTGATAATTGACAAATTCTTACAGTTGCAAGAAAAAGTATGTGAACCCCTTGGGATTACGTGGAGTTTTGCATGAATTGGGCATTAAATGTGCTCCGAACGTCATCTAAGTCACAACAATAGAAGAACACAGTCTGCTGAACATAATACTACACAAACATTAGATGTTGCCATGGTTTAATTGCACATAACATGTAACATTCACAGTGCGGGGAGGAAAAAGTATGTGAACCTTTGGACTTAATAACTGGTTAACCCTCCTTTTGGCAGCAATAACCTCAACCAAACGTTTCCTGTAGTTGCAGATCAGACCTGCACAACGATCTGGAGTAATTTTGGACCACTCCTCTTCACAAAACTGTTTCAGTGTAGCAATATTCTTGGGATGTCTGGTGTGAATCGCTCTCTTAAGGTCATGCCACAGCATTTCAATCGGGTTGAGGTCAGGACTCTGACTGGGCCACTCCAGAAGGCGTATTCTGTGCTGTTGCAGCCATTGTTTTGTTGAATTACTTTTATGCTTTGGGTCATTGTCCTGTCCTGTTGCATCACCCATCCTCTGCGGAGCTTCAGTTGGCAGACAGATGGTCGTACGTTTTCCTGCAAAATGTCTTGATAAACTCTGGAATTCATTTTCCCATCAATGACAACAATCTGTCCAGGCCCTGAGGCAGCAAAGCAGCCCCAAACCATGATGCTCCCTCCGCCATGTTTTACAGTGGGGATGAGGTTTTGATGTTGGTGTGCTGTGCCTTTTTTTCTCCACACATAGTGTTGTGTGTTCTTCCCAAACAACTCAATCTTGGTTTCATCTGTCCACAGTATATTTTGCCAGTAGTGCTGTGGAACATCCAGGTGCTCTTTTGCAAACTTCAAACGTGCTGCAATATTCTTTTTGGACAGCAATGGCTTCCTCCGTGGTGTCCTCCCATGTACTCCATTCTTGTTTAATGTTTTCCTTATTGTAGATGTGTCAACAAAAATGTTATCATGTGCCAGAGATTTCTGTAGGTCTTTAGCTGACACTCTGGGATTGTTCTTTACCTCATGCAGCATTCTGCGTTGTGCTCTTGCAGTCATTTTTACAGGACGACCACGCCTAGGGAGAGTAGCAACAGGGCTAAACTTTCTCCGTTTGTAGACAGTCTGTCTTACCTGTGGACACATGAACATCAAGGCTTTTGGAGATACCTTTGTAACCCTTTCCAGCTTCATGCAAGTCAAGAATTCTTGATCGTAGGTCTTCTGAGAGCTCTTTTCTGCGAGGAATGGTTCACAACAGACAGTGCTTCTTGAAACCAGTAAACCCAAAACAGGTGTGTGTTTTTTAAGGGCAGGACAGCTGTAAGCAACACATCCAATATCATCACACTGATTGGAGTCAAGGTTGGCTCACTCCTGGCTCCAATTAGCTCTGGGAGAAGTCATTAAGCTAGGGCCTCACATACTTTTTCCTCCCTGCACTGTGAATGTTTACATGTTATGTGCAATTAAACCATGGCAACATCTAATGTTTGTGTAGTATTATGTTCAGCAGACTGTGTTCTTCTATTGTTGTGACTTAGATGACGTTCAGAGCACATTTTATGCCCAATTCATGCAAAACTTCACGTAATCCCAAGGGGTTCACATACTTTTTCTTGCAACTGTATTATTCTCCACTATGGTGAAACTGCACTCAACTGTATTTGGTGGAAAATTACCCCTTTATAATAGGCAGGTCAATGTGCACTTTGTTTTATTGGAAATATCTTTTCAATTCACTTGCTCCAAATATGCCAAGTCTCCCAGTGCTTAGCTCACCATATATTCACCATGCAACCCAGGGTCTCTTCATCTCCTCATCATGCCACCAGAGATTTCACAAAGACCAAAAAAAAGCTTTCATTGCATTGTATTTATTAAAAAAAACATGCCCACATAAAATCACATATAGGTAGCTCACCCACATTTAAATGTGCCCACCTCAGTACCAAAACAATCAGCCTGCTTTTATTTTGGAAGCGCCATCACTCCGCTCTCATCCAGGGCTTACGTGCACTCCAGTTACAGGAAACCATGTACTGGAACTGACTTAACCGGAAGTGACAACCAGAAGTTCTACCTCTAACACATTGCGTCTATATGAGGTCTTTTTTACATCATTAGCTCTTTATACGCTTGAGTTTGAATTTTTGAACATATTGGCATGTAAAATTATAATAGAAGTGTTTTATAGCGCCTTCTTTTAGTTACAGATTCACAACAAACTAAAGTGCACTTATAAAGGGGCAGCAGAGACCACATTTTAGGGGGTGATTAATTTAAGAAGTGCAAGGTACATTGTTAATTTACTCATATTAAATGTTTACTTCAACTAATAAGCAAAAAATAAAATTTAAATTGTAAAAATGCATTTTTAATATCATGTAAAAGTGTATAAACTGTAAAATAAAGGTGAGATAAAACTAACCCTGAAGCTAAAGGAAGTCACTGTAGTAGCGGTGTCTAGCATATTCACACTGCTCCAAGCTATGCAAATTAGTCCGTACCTAAACTCCATCTTTAACTTAGAAGCCAGCACTTTTGAATTCACACTGTTACGATGCGTAAGTGCAGTATGTTATGCTGCCCGTTAGCGAGCATTGCATTAAGATGGCCTGATCATTTGAATGGGGTGCTTGACACCCCAAAAAGATGCATGCACTGTTTTTTCTGCGGTAGTTTTTCATGCGTTACAGTAATACATAGGATTGTTTTACTAAAACTGGAGAGTGCAAAATCTGGTGCAGCTGTGCATGGTAGCCAATCAGCTTCTAACTTCAGCTTCTTCAATTAAGGTCTGACAAAAAATCTGGAAGCTGAATGGTTTCTATGCACAGCTACACCAGATTGTGCGCACTCCAGTTTCAGTAAATCAATGCCATTGCAACCAGAGCCCAACATTCTGAATCCAGTCTCAAACGCAAAAATGTAAATATTAAATATAATATAATTTTTTTTTTCCCCTGTAGATGAAATTGGCAGCCCACCTGATACTGCTACCAGTGGAGCAACAAGTTACCCTCAAAATTCCAGCTCAAATGCTCGAAGCAATGGTAAGATTTGTGCATTGGTGTATTTGTATGTATGAAAGAAATAAAACAGATTGTATTCGGACAACTGTATAACTTATAATATTCAGTAGATTAATTTCTTTTTTAGTTCACATTCCTTTATTTATATTTTTATGAATATGTACACAATGGGGAAAATAATTATTCGATCCCCTGCAGATTTTGTAGGTTTGCCTACTTACAAAGAATTGAAAGGTCTATAATTTTTATCATAGATGTATTTTAAATGATAGAGACAGAATATCAACCAAAAATCTAGAAAAAACACAAGATACAAATGTTATAAATTGAGTTGCCATTCAGTGAGTAAAATAAGTATTTGATCCCCAAGCAAAACATGACTTAGTACTTGGTGGAGAAACCCTTGTTGGCAAGCACAGAGGTAAGACGTTTCTTGTAGTTGGTTACCAGGTTTGCACACATCTCAGGAGGGATTTTGGTTCACTGTTCTTTACAGATCTTCTCTGAATCCTTAAGGTTTCTTGGCTGTCGCTTGGCAACTCGAAGTTTTCAGCTCCCTCCATAAATTTTCTATAGGATTAAGGTCTGGAGACTGGCTAGGCCTCTCCATGACCTTAATGTGCTTCTTCTTAACTCATTTGTTGCCATGGCGGTATGTTTTGGGTCATTGTCATGCTGAACAGAAGGTTCTCATCCAAGATTTTACAATACATGGTCCCATCCATTGGCCCATTAATGCGGCAAAGTCAACCTGTATCTTTAGCAGAGAAACCACCCCAAAGCATAATGTTTCCACCTCCGTGCTTGACTCTAGGGATGGTGTTCTTAGGGTTATAGTCAGCATTTTATTTCCTCCAAACACGGCGAGTCATGTTAATGCCAAAAAGCCTAATTTTGGTCTCATCTGACCACATCACTTTTTCCCAATCCTTCTCTGAATCATTTAGATGTTCATTGGCAAACTTCAGATGGGCCTGTACATGTGCCTTCTTGAGCAGGGTGATTTTTTGCGGGTGCTGCAGGATTTTAATCCATAACGGCGTATTGTATTACCAATGGTTTGTTTGGTGACTGCAGTCCCAACTGCCTTGAGATCCTTCACGAGCTCCTCCTGTGTAGTTCTGGGCTGATCCCTAACTTTTCTCATGATCATCCTTCCCCCATGAGGTGAAATCTTGCATGAAGCTCCTGACCGTGGGCAATTGCTGGTTATTTTGTATTTCTTCCATTTGCGAATAATCACTCCAACAGTTGTCTCCTTCTCACCAAGCTTCTTACTGATGGTCTTGTAACCCATTCCAGCCTTGTGCAGGTCTATAGTATTGTCCCTGATGTCCTTTGACAGCTCTTTGGTCTTGCCATGGTGGTGAGGTTTGAATGGAAGAAAGCGATTCTGTGGACAGGTGTCTCTTTTGCACACATAACGAGTTGTCTTTAGGAGCACCTTCTTAAATTGACAGAACTAATCTGTGTACCACATGAGCAAATAGCCAGTCTGTGGGAGCCAGAATTGTTGGTTGGTAGGGGATCAAATACTTATTTTACTCACTGAGCTGCAACTCAATTTATAACATTTGTATCTTTAGTTTTTTTACTGGGTTTTTTGGTTGATATTCTGTCCCTATCATTTAAAATACATCTATGATAACAAATATAGACCCTTCATTTCTTTGTAAGTGGGCAAACTTATGAAGTTCCTATTCATGCCTTTTTACCTGTTAAATAGACCATTGAAAGTGTTTGTTTTTATATATATATATATAAATATATATATATAAATGTTCAGTAGGTGCAAAAACCTACCAATTGAATTAAACAGAGCTGTCCTGTTTTCTGTGCACACTTCCTGTTTCATTTCAAAACACAACTAGGCAAAGCTGACACCACTGTTTAAGAATTCCTAAATTTATGTGCCCCTCAATGGACTATAAAGAAAAAAAAAACATATGCGGTGTATCTCTGCTATACACACACATTAGTTTGTGTAAAAAAAAAAATGCTGCTTGTTGTCAGCCCACAAAAGGAATTAGGGTTGAGTGCATTTCTGGCAGATCATTTCTGAGCTGTGTGCAGGCAGCCTATGTTATGCTATGGGGACGCAGCAGCTGTATGAAAACAGCCACAGGTCCTAATCTGACAGGTGTGTTTGGGTGGAGGTGTACAGTCCCAAACAAGGACAGTGTGTATTCAGGGCCTCTCACCGACCTCACTTGCCAAATTAGGACCTGTGGCTGTGTTTGTCTCCTTAGAGTAACAGGCGGCTCCAGCCCCATGAACAATCCACCCACTCACCCGGAAATTTTGTGCGTTTCGTAATCCAATGATGCCACCATTGATTTTTAAATTTGACCTACCAAGCCTTCAATTTCACCTCGTGTTGCTACAGAAAAGATTTTTCTCCTCTATATGGCCTACATTAGAAGAAGCTGCGTAAGATTTTTCTCCTCTATATTCTTTACATCTATTGCAAAAGCACAATATGCTTACTAAAGTGGATAGGCTCGCTGCTGCCGTGCGCAAAAGCCTCGCATCACAGTCCTTGATTCTTGTCCATCTCACCAGACCCTCTTGGGTAGAAAGAGATCTGTAAAAACTGTAGTGAAACTTCGTTCTGTCAGTCAACATTGACTATTTTAAATCCTTTTGCTCCTAGCCTGGGGCATATTTACCACAAGGCAAATAAGGCATGTGCCTAGAGCGACATTTTTTCAGAGGGACAGCAGCATTTTTCAGGGGAGCAGCGTCGCCCCCCAAAAGAAGGGGTGGAAGAAAGAAAGGACGCACGCAGCATGGGGACCAGGTGGGATCTGAGAGAGGCTGCAGGCTGCTTAATGGTGTATGCAGTGCCCGACTCTTGTTCCTGGGGATGTCCGGCAGCTGTGAAGGTAAGGGTCTTCTCTCCTGCCAGGGTGTGGGGGTTGCCAGTATGAATGGGGCGGTGGTAGTGGAAGGCTCTCTCGGTTGGGGGGGAGGTGTTGTTGGTCAATTGTTGGAAACCTAAATACACCACTGCTTCTAGCATTAATAAATAGGAAAGTAGGGCTGCAACTAACGATTATTTTAATTATCGATTAGTTTGCCTATTGTTATTTCGATGAATCAGATAAAAACCTCAAAAAAAGGTGTATAATTTAGCTAATATGTAAAGTTTAAAAAAGACAATTTATTCTTCAATATCTATATGTAGTTGTAAATATAAATAACTGCTATATGGCTAGGGAACAAAATATCTATTCCACTCTGAGAATAACAGACAGAAGATGTATATATATTTTTAGAACTTGAATCTGGCACAAATCATCAGACTGAAAAATCTAAATTTTTATTTAAAGAAAAAAAAAAATTTAAAAAGATCTACAACACTGTTTTGCATAATATTATACATGACAGACTCGCTTGTCATAGGCAGTTAGCTTGATAAAAGCTAACTGCATCTGCTGGCCATACACTAACACATTTGTTGTGTTTGAAAATTTCATTTTTAAGAACATTTGTTCAATATTCTAATCATTAGTGGGATCAAATTGACCTTTGTTTTCGACCACAGTGACGGGAAAATTCGAAGGAGCAGAATAGCAAATTTTTCTTGATTTAACTAATTTTTGGACAGTGTATATGGTTTTCGTTCAGAAATTGCAGTCATTTTTAAATTGAATGTTAAAAGCAAGTGACATTTTTGAATGGCATTAGTCCATTCATCGAATGTACAAAGAATTTTCATATGAATATTCGTACGAATATTCTTTTCCAAAAATTGCTACATGTATGGCTAGCATAAGCCATTTAGTAGCAGCAGCATGTTGTATTTTTTGTTTTTGTATATCCACTGTCATGATGGGATTAAACAAAAAACAGCTCTTTTATAGTAAAAACACAGCAAGTAATTACTACTATATGGGGTTAATTTATACTCTCTCTCTCTCTCTCTCTCTCTCTCTCTCTCTCTCTCTCTCTCTCTCTCTCTCTCTCTCTCTCTCTCTCTCTCTCTCTCTCTCTCTCTATATATATATATATATATATATATATATATATATATATATATATATATATATATATATGCCTTCAGAGTGCAAACTGCAAACATAGAGTGCCCTGTAGCAAGGCAAAAAAAAACACTTTTGCCTAGAATAACTTTATATCACTTCCTTCTCCTGCCAAGGACTACATGTCCCATGAGGCATTGCTCCCCACAGATTCACAGGTTGAATAATAATAATAATAAGTTCTCAGGCACTTACTGATGTATTGACATACAGTGTGTGGTGCACTGTGTATACTGACATGTATGGATGTTGTGTTGAGCTGTATGTGTGCAGCACTGTATTTCCTGATATGTAAACAAATAATGCACCCTGTATGCAGGCCAACTAATCGGCTGACCAACTAAACGATTATGAAAATAGTTAACAACTAGTATATCATATTTACTTGTTTTAAACTTTTTTACATTTCTTCAGTTACTTCCTGGTTTCCATGTCTAGTTAAATGATGATGTCTTACATCCCAGAGTCTTCAGGAAGGGAGGAGGGGTTTTCTCAGATAAGCACACCCTCCCTCCTGCCTGCGTACCTGAGCTAAGGGCAGATGGATTCCAGGAAGTAAATGCTACATGAATCATCTGCCCTTACTCAAGATGGGCACAGCCAGAAATGCTAGGGGGTGTTTTGTAAGTGATTTCTCAGCCAAATAAAGCATGGGAGACATAGATGGATGGAGGAGTTTTAATAATAAAAATGAATTAGATTTTTTTGTAGTACCCAGATACAATGTAGTTCCGCTTTAAAGTAGTTCTAAAGGCAAAACATTTTTTACCTTAAAGTATTCCCTGCATTAAGGTAAAAAAATGTCTCCGTGTGTATGATCCCCTCTCCTTGGTGTATACTAACCTGAATCCTGTATCGATCCAGCACTTCACACAGGCACAAAGCCAGCAGCAGAATCATTGACTCCTGCTCCTGTCAATCAAATGCTGTGAGGAGGGAGCGGTAGGTGGGGACGAGCCATGCTATATGTGTAAATAG